ACACGCTGTGCTTACTGGGAAGCATAAACTGACCAGCAACTTGAACCTGAGAGCAATAATTTCTTTATCACTTTTAAATTTTTTAAGCAGTCTAAGCATTTTTTTCTGAATTTGTTTTCACGGCTGCTTAGTTCCATTTCTTGATGTACTTCCTCAATATGTCTGACTTCCGGACATTTAGTGTATTTTTGACCGTCTCGGCGGTCCGAAATATTCACGGAATTTCCACAAAATATCTCCCGCATAGCTAATTAGAGGGTTCAAAGTTTGTTTAGAAATGCCAAGCGATACCAAAAGTTTCGATGATGTTATAGTGGACGAGTTTTCCGAACTTGTGCACACCATAAAATCGCTACGTCGGGAATGTTTTCGAAGTTAAGTCGGCAACCTGATGATTTCACGATGTGCGCAAGATCGGAAAATTCGTACACTAAAAAACTGATGTAAGTCTTGGAATCCTTTGACATTTCTTAACAAACATTTCTATTCTTCACGAGTTGAAAGATTCGTATTATTGAAATTCTGTAAAAATTTCTGACTGCTGGGCATTTAGTCAATTTGAGACGGCGCCTAACTGGCAGGAATTAAGACACCGCCAAAAAGTAAGATATGTAGCGCTTTTACACAACTAGAAAACAGAAACTGAATTTACATCTGCCGAGATCTATGTCCATTTACATGCTATACGGTGTCGTGAAATGCAGCTTTACAAAATTGGCAAAACCGAACCGAGTTCGAGATCAAAAGTAATGAAATTTTGCACTAAAACGGACTGATGTAAAAACTTAGGAAACGAATACAAGATAAATATGTGCCATTTACATACAAGTAGAAAACGTAAATTGAATTTGCATCGGCTGAAATTTTTTCCATTTACATATAAGATGGTGTCGTTAATGAACCTTTAACAATGCCACCCAGTGTTCTTCTAAAGTGAAGATCGTCGACAGCACGAAACTTGGCTTAAGTCCAGTGAAGTTCATTACGTTGTTTAGGGAATGTCTCCTTTAGCTTAAAGTTGCTTTAAAATGCAGTTACAATGTTATGTGTGCATCAAGTTTTCTTTATAATTCAGGTTGTCGTAATAAAATATGCAGGTCGAGTAACTAAACTTAGATGGCATTATCAGCCCGCGATCTTTGCACCCTGTCGCGTGATATATTTGTTTTGTTAAGGTCTAGTTAATTTGTTCACAAAGGAAGTTTTCTAGAAGTGAATGAAAATTATCGTGTTTACTTAAAAGACTAAGCACTCCCCCATCCGCGCATCGATGATCAGCGTAACTGTTCCCGCCCCCTGCAGTATAATACGTTTGCTGCCCAATCTTTCAACGCATTCCTTTTCTGTCGAAGTCACGATATATTTCCCTCGAGATGCACTTTCATAGCGAGACCATAACAAGCTTCAGTTTCAGATTCAGTTTTCTGCACTCTTTGGGATCAATTGACGTTCTCCCGACCAATGAACACTTTTCCACAAATTCAAAATCTTTATTGATGTTATTCAACACTGTACTATCAACAATCAATTATTGATTTACATTTCCAAAAGTTTTTCATACGAAAATCGACCAATAAAAGAGTTGTATATGATCGTGACATGTGGCTGAGGACTTAACAAACCCAATAAACCCACGCGTATTATATTGAAGGTCTTGGTGATGGGACCTCAAAATGCTCCTCCGTTTGTATTTTTTCGGGGATTGTTGCTCTCTGCAGTTTGTATCACTGCAATAGAGTCATCCACTGTTTGTCGATCAGCATACTTCTCAACGTTGGTAGATAAGCAGCTTAAAGGCTTCGTTGTAAAACGATTTAGGTCTCCCGGCCAAACTTGGTGTAGTCAATCTTGTTTGAAAAACACCTGGTGTACTTCAACAAACTTCAAGCTTGCTCCTCAAACTTCTGATGGAGAAGGAATTTGTGAACTAAACAAGCACGATAACTCTATTGTCAAAGAAAACACACACTTGCAGTTCGAGAAAGGTGGTACTTTCTCAGTGCTTCTTAAGGTAACTAATGACCTAAAATGCCTCATTTTTATATCAAATTTGGTGTAGTCAATCTTCTTTGAAAAACACCTGGTGTACCTAAACAAACTTTAAGCTTGCTCATCAAACTTCTGATGGCCAAGGGACCTTGTGAACTAAACAACCACGATAGCTCTGTTATTAAAGAAAACACATATTTGCAGGTTGAGAAAGGTGCCGCTTTCTCAATGCTTCGGCTTAAGGTAACTAATAGCTTAAAATACCTAATTCATATACTGGGCTCGGTGAGATCTTGTTGATGCGGCTGCAGTTTAATTAGCAGATAAACTGTTAGTTTCAATTTTGAAATTTATCCAGTTTTGTGTTTTAAGTTGCTAGCATTTTATTTGAATCGACTCACAATGGTCGAAGTCTTTGTCGGTACATTGGTAATTAGCAAATGTAAGATTTTCAAGGGGGGAAATGGGAAAGTAATGATCATAGCAGACTAACTGAACTTGAGTGAAAATGCATTTAGTTGACGATATTTGTTATCATGGAATAACTGAGATGATAGGCGCGGTATGATTGATAAGCGACTTATTGTTGCTGCACAAGTTCACCCATAGCTATTTTGTAAAAGCGATGGCCCTCATTTTCTATCGATTCGCCGGTGCTGTAACTCACTATAGCAGTTGTCATACAACCTTTTTCTTTTTCGTTTTTCGGTTGAAATTTACCTCCTTTATATAGGAAAGTTTCAAGCGAGATCCCTGCACTATCCTTGCGCATCCTAAGTACCATGCGGGCGGCATCAAACAAATATTCATCATCGATTATTTATTTTGAAATGCTAATCAATCCAAAATATTTCCATTTGAATTTTAAATTGGAGCTGTTTTTATGAAAGCGAAATGAATTTTCCTTGGCAATGACATAAATTGACAAATGATGGAGAAATACAAGAGAACACAAAATAGTCTCCGTTTCTTCGACAAAGGGTAAACCCGATCTTGAATTAAATTATTCGGTACATGGCTCGTATGAGTCATCCGTTGTGCAAAAAACTTTTAATGGAAAGTATGTCGTGGTATTTGCCATGCCAGAGTGGTTTAAAAAGCGTTATTCATTATGATGAGAGCCAAAGGATTTTTCTCGCTACAAAACACCTGTTACATGTGTCGCTTATTACTTTAAGCAGTAGCCGAAGAAAGAAGACATTGACTTGCTTTTGTCATTCTTGCCAAGATGTGTCTCTAGTGTTGGCGTATGAAATGAATTTGACAAAATCTATGATCTTATCGCCTGATATTCAGTCTATGAAGTAACATGTCTGTTCCTACGACAAGATATGGTACCACTCGGTCTAGGATTCAGAAGCCACTCTTTTCTCTAAGGAATCTGATTTTAAAAAAATCAGAATTTGAAGCGACAGCCGAAGCTCTACTTTTTAATGATTTCAATGTACGATCATGTTCATGTTCTGATCAGGTTTTCACGACGCACTGTCTGTTAATGCCTCTTTTTAGGGCTGTCCAACAACCAACAATTGTGAAAATGGAGGTGCATGTGTGTATGACGAGAAAAAACAATCCTATTCATGCCAGTGCAAGCCCCCTTGGACCGGAGAAACTTGTACTGATCTGGGTAAGAGGCAACTTAGAACAGCAGAATAGAGATGGTAAAGTAATGTAGGTCAAGGATAATGGAAAAATATTTGTCTCCGTGACCTGGAAACAAAGAAACCAATACAGAATAAAACAAAGCGTTAATCGATATAAAATAATAACTGACAAGAAGAAGTCAAGTCAGTCCCACGTCTATAATGTAAGGGTCTAATGTTTTTTGAAATCTCTTTACAATAACGTTGCTTAGCACGTTTAGCAAAATCTTATTGACAAGTCTTAACATTATCTTATACTCCCAAGAAGTTACTTGCGACAGTCATCCGTGCAAAAACAATGGAACTTGCACAGACAGAGTCAACGAGTATAACTGCAGCTGTGCGCCAGGATTTTACGNAAGAAAGAAAACGCCACTTCATCCAAGCTCTCGGAATTTACCGTGTGCTTTTTTGTTAAAAGCAAGGATATAAATTCAACGAGTTCCCAGTGCCTCTTCAGTTACGCAGAAGCTTCTCATATAAAAGGAAATGGTATTTCTATTTTCTTGAATAATCCAAGAATTGATGTCATGGTGGATGTGTCGGGATCACAGTAAGTGATGTGTAAAACAAAGCAAAAAGGTGTTAAGTAAGTAGTTTTTGTATGGCACTCGGACCAAACTTGTTTATCTTCCCGGCTCAGTTGACGGAGAAAAACACATTGCTTGTCACCATTTCCGTGGAAACAGTCCTTTTGGCAAAATACCGACCAAGTAAGAAGCGATCATAACGTTCCGATTTACTTCAGAACTACCTTGCCATATAGCAGAGTCCCTCATCATGAAATAGCAAGCACAGCGATCCAAAATGCTTAGGAAATGCTAAAGAATTGTGACAGAATTGCAGTAATTTCTTTTTTAGAGACTAGAAAGGGATCAATGTAATTTTGCGTTGCGTATAAATAAAACAGTGGATACATTGCCTACAGGAATAATTGAGAAAAAAAAATTATGATTTTTCAAGGATATCGAGCACTTCTAGTAATCAAATAGAGAAGCCTTGACTGAGCCCTGTTCTGTTGTGAAGCACGCAGGAAGCGGTTAGAGCACGAGAAAAGTGTAGGGAGAAACACGAGACGTAGTCGAATGTTTCTCCCCACTTCTTGATCATGAGTGAATTCACAGGAACAAGTAGATTACTCGGGATGATGGCGCCGTAACTTCGGCTGCTGTGACTGAGGTGGCTGAATACTGACTAATTTCTGAGGCTTGCTTCACGTCGATGAACACAGATAATAAGGTAGCCGCGATGGATATGAAAATGACCGCAGTCGCTCTGACATCGTCATGATTTGTTTAGGTATATTTTCAAGTTTGATCATTCTTGTTTCATTGTTTTTTGTTTTTGATTTTTTTTCACACGAAACTATTTATGCTCTACGAGTGTTGTCTGTTTTTTATTTTTATTACGGCTCAAAACCTTCAAAACTCGGACAATACATTTCGTTTACTCTCAGTGAATTTTCGCCTCTACACAAGTTATAATAATGCAAAATACGGCGCTTGGCATGTTTACAAACCTTTGTTTGGTTCTTCTGTTGTAACTTGCCGGCTTGCTTATTCCGAAATGTCACTTTTAATGAACGAAAAAAAGCTACACATAGTTCAAAACGGCAGATGGCGTGACAGTTTTAGCTGAGGTCCCTGTTCTGTACTCTGTTAGAGCACACCCTTTAAACCAATGACAGCGTGTGTCGTATATCCGAACTCTATTATATTAGTTATTATGCCCTCTCAATCAGCTGAATTGATAGGACTCGACCATCAGCAGAAAATAATTTGAAACGCTTTTCTTCGCACTGCAAAGTAATGATAATCGCAATAATGATGATAAGTGCTAAAAACAACAACGATAGTAATGACAAAAACTATGGCTATAATAGTCACAATGATAATGATATTTGGAGAGGGATCTTGGGTAAATGAAATTTGCCTTGCCTTGTAGTGTTTCAGCCACAGAATGAACTGTCTTACAACTTAAGCTTATAATCGATTAACTCATGAGTTAATGGCACTTAGTACAGAAAAATTAAGTCTTTGGAGGATATGAGAATTTTCAACGCACATTTGTCTATGATCATTTTCTTAGTGGTATAGACACCGGAGTTAAGATAAATGACACCATGTGGCATCACATCTGTGTTAGCTGGAAAAGTACAAAAGGCACCTGGCAGCTTTATCTGGATGGACAACTCCGAAACAGTGGAACAGGCTTGAAGGAAGGCTACCAGGTTCCATCCGGCGGAACAGTCGTTATCGGACAAGATCAAGATACAGTTGGAGGGGGCTTCAGCATTAAAGATAGTTTTGGACCGGGTGAGGTGACCGAGGTTAATTTTTGGAGCAGGGTCTTGTCAGCGAGTGATATTGAAAAACAGTATGCAAACTGCAACATTACCAAAGACGACTTGATACACTGCTGGGAACAATTCAAAGATGGCTTTACAGGTGTGAAAGTAGTTGAACCTTGAACCGAACACTGAGCAGAACTGAGATGATTTTTGTTGATTTAATCGTAATACAAACGCTTAAATCTATAAAGTAACTGCAGTAAACTCATTAGATGTAAATCCGGAATAAACCAACGTTTCAACCACATTCTATGTTATCCTTGACTTCGGTAAGAAGACGAGTGGAGCAAATCTTTATACCCGTTAGCTAAGTGATACCTAAGGGACCTATTATATCCAAATTTGACGCGTACTTCTAGGAATATCGAGTATTGATGGACTGCTCACAGAAAAATCAGATTGTTTTGTATATTGCTATAACACTCCTTTGAATGAGGGATCTATGGAAAATTTGTAAAGGTTACAGCGAGGCGAAGCTTTATTAAGCAGCACCGTATCAAGCGGCAACCCTGTCAAGCTAAGCGGTCGAATTTTCCAAGTCGTTTTTCAAATTCCTTCCCCTATTTACTGTAATTTAAATCGGTTACGACTACACTTATTCACTTGAGTCCCAGCGGTCCCAACGGCCTCTTTGTATCGTCCTTCATCTGTCGTGAACGGTCACTTACAGCGGAATCATTCAAAATAAAACTAAGAATAATCGTATGGTGTCGTGTAAGTCCGTTGACCTCCCCCTTTTGTCGGGTTTAGTTCGATGTTTGCTCAGGATCTCGCCTCTGCAATGGTCTTAAAATAAGTGAGGAGAATTTGTTACCGTTCTATAACCAAGAAATCGATAGATATTCTAGTCTTCTCGGATAAGGACGAATAAACCGTCGGCCCCGTCTCCTGCAGGGTTAGGGGTAGGAGACGTTAAAATCCCACGCACAAGATTACCGTCTGGTGGATGTCCTCCCTTCGGTGGGATGGGTGGTGTTGGCCCTGAAAAGCCCCCATGGGGAGCGGTCACATGTATGTGTGTATGTATGTATGTATGTATGTATGTAGTATATATGTACGTACGTACGTAGGTATGTATGTATGTATGTATGTACGTATGTAAGTATGTATGTATGTAAGTATGTAATTAATACGAACTGGTTCAAGACTTCAGAAGCAGTTCATCGTTTTATTACGACAGTTCTGTTTCGTATGGTCGAAAATGACCACACTCATCCGGTAATTTCAACGATTGACCGTTAACTTACAATTACTGGCTATAAAAGCTGGAGTAAGGTTGCTAGTGGAGATATAAAAACAACTCTACTTATCCATTTAAGTCATGTGACTGGTATGCATAATTTCGGAGATTGTTACTTGATTATGAAGTTTTTAAGGAGGTATCTGTTTCTATGGGGGTATGAACTTGTTAGCTCATTTCGCTTGTTTAGACTGCAAAGTTCCTTTTTACATATAATCGTGAATTTTTCAAAAAGACATAAATTACATTTCTTAGTAATGTTGTTGTACGGTTTGCATTGTTTGATGATTTTCCACGCTAGCTTGAAAGGTTTGTTATTGTCCTTCAGTGTCCACATGTGTTTGGATAATTCAGTCTCGTGTCTCTTGTTTTGGTGTCGGAAGGACGCTGTGTGGTTTCTGTACCGTTCTTTAAAGTTTGTCGCGAGTCCCACGTATGAATCTGGTGACGTTTCAGTTGTGACTTTTGCTTGGTAGACTACGTTTGATGTGAGGCATTTTCCCTCAAGGGAGCATTGGTCTTTTTTCCGGCAGTTACATTATGCATACCAGTCACATGACTTATATGGATAAGTAGCGTTGTTTTTATATCTCCAGTAGCAACCGTACTCCAGCTTTTATAGCCAGTAATTATAAGTTAACGGTCAATCGTTGAAATTACCCGATGAGTGTGGTCATTTTCGACCATACGAAACAGAGCTGTCATAATAAAACGATGAACTACCTCTGAGGTCTTGAATTATTTCGTAATAATTATCAATTCTCCATTAAGAGTTGAGCGCTCTTCGAAATACATTCAAATCAAGTCCAAGAATATGTATGTCTTTATGTATGTATGCATTCTCATAGGTGCGTTTTACTCTGAGCATAGCTAACATATCCTTTGAAGAAGAATGTAAATTGAAAGGAATAAAAAAGGAAAATTGAGAGGAAAAGAATACAAAAGGAGTAAGACAAAAATAGTTTGACGTGGCCGGGATTCACCCTTCATTTGCGCAAGGTACGCAGAGCGTACAAACCGGCGAAATTTGCTTTGAAATATATTTGATGCTCATTTGACGCGTGTACCTCTTTTATTGATTTCCTGCCCTGTCACTGGCCTGAAAATTGACCAGTGTACAAATTCTTTTCTAACCAAGCCCTTTTGTCACAAATTTGGCATCGACAGGAGCTGTTCATCTACCCTTCTGCATTTAATACTACATTACTTTTTTTAGAGCAGTACTCTACAACTATACAACAGTGGCACTACAGTCATAAAATATGTACTAATTTACCCTGCACAAGGGATTGCACGAGCGGGGCCAGACGGGTCATATGATAATGCCTCTCACTACCGAAGGTTTTCAACTAATGGCAACACGCGTGTTGCCGCGCATTTGTGCGTGAGGCATGACGCAATTTGCGTCACAAGCGAAAATACTGACAATTAACCCAGTGAGACTTACGTGTAACACGTGCCTACGAAAAGTCAAAATTTTGGAGAAACCAAGAAAGCAAAGACAGTGCACCCAATTGAAATATGGCGTCTAATTTGAATTACCATTGTTCTGGACTTACTAACCTCGTCTTCACGTGGAAACTCAAAAGGATTATCACATGTGCGAGAGTCTCTTTGCTTGAGATCTCAAATGAATCTACTTTGTTTATCGAAGATATTTTTTGTAAATATTTCGCTTTACACGGAGGATAAAGGGTAGAAAAGTAAGATTCTTTAGAAGACATTGTCAAGTTCGCATTGTTTCAGTCGAACTGTTGACCTTCAAAATGGCAGCCACCGTCGTTGCTATGGGATACGGACGTGACGTAAAAACCTCTATTAAAGAACTTTTATCCTACGAAAAAAAGCGATAGGTGCATATTAAGTTTTTACTCAAAAATCAAGATGAAAGATAAAAATCGCTAAATATTTTCGCATGTGTGCAAATGGGAATACGGGTCATATTTCAAAAGGGAATATGTAAATTTGTCCGTGACTGAAGAGATATCAAGTTCCGTTGAATCTATAAATTGGAAGCAAGACGAAAATGACCAAGAAATATTTCGAGACGACAGATTTATTCAAAGCAGTTTTTGATTTGCTGTTATAAGCGAAAAACGTACGAATTTCTTACGTGTACAAAACCCACGCGGTAAAATTGATCATGCTTAGATCGTTGTTTACTGGGCAACCCTAAATCTAGGAATCCGGAGTCCGGAATCCGGAATCCGAAATTCGGAAACCGGAAACCGGAATCCCTAATCCAAAAATAAAGCAAAAACGAAGTTTTTCGGTCCGGTTTTTTAAAAGGTGGATAACGCTATCCATTTAAAGTGCCCCTGAGACGAAAATTGACCATTTTATTTTGGCCTAAATTGTTTGCGCAATGTTGAATTGGGTCAAGTTAAGACTCCTTTTGCCATTCAAAACCCAAAACAAACCTTCGATGACCAATTTTTACCGCTTCAAAGTCGTCCAAACATCGTGCGCCATTGCTGAAGACATGTTCCAGCCGAGCTCGCAAAAACGTCATTATGACGTCAAAGGCTCAACAAACTTATGCTTTGCTTTGTCGCAACTCTCTTTTTTTGTTGCACAGAGAATCACACATATTACTTTTTTGAGAACTGTTTCGTTGTCAGTCGGGAAATGTCGAATTGTCCCAGAAATTATCTGAAGCTTCTGTGGATAGTTTTGCGCCGACAAACTATGAATTTTTGCCGTGTGAATAAAGATAAACACAGAACTGCACAGACTCCCCATGTGGCTTTTGTGGTCGCATCGCTTTATCGCTTTCAAACTGTATTTTTGCTTGTCGTAAGGGATTTTCCTTTTTTGTAAGAAATGATCGGGTGATAAGTAAAAATGGTTTTCGGTAATGGCTAATTGTGTATCCGAAGGCGGATATTGGGAGTTTGTGGAAGCCATTTCTAAGCCATCAATGTGTTTTCCCCAATGCATTTGGTCAATGATCTCATTAACCCTTTCCTACGTGTTTTTTACTATCGGTGCTTTGAGAGGTTTGAAGTGAACTCTGTTGTTGAGTTGCACTTTGGCCTCTTTTGTTTTTTCTGTCTTATTCATGATTACTGTTGTTGTGTTTCTTCGGTGAGGTTTAAAGCAGAGTTTGTTTCAACTCTTTTAGAGCCGTGACCTCATTGCGTTACAAAGTATTTTTTGGCTTAGATGCAGTCTGCAGGTGGCGTTATGACAATTTTCCAAGTAGCTCTGAAGGGCGATTTATTCGTCTTGCGAATAAATCTCGCGAAAGTTGGCCTGATTTTAAATTCGTTTGTCACGGGCGTTGGGATGAATTTAAGACCCTTTGATGGCACGCTGACTTGGCTGTCAGACGGTTATCAGACAGGTTTTCAAAGAAATTTTCATTTTCTCGGTTTTTTGGCTGTAAGCTTGCATTTTAAAGTGTTTTTACGCTCTGTGTCTCAAGCTGTTTGTTCTGCTTTCGCTGATTTTAAAGCCAGCTTTTTTTAGAATCAGAGCACCCAATTATATTTTTCATCTCTTTTATATAAAAGTGAGGTCAGAAATCTCAATCTTCAATTCCGCTATTTTATCATTCATATGTGCAATGTTCACCGAGTACTTTCCTTTGTGTAAGGTATTCTGCCAGAGAATTGTTAAAGGTGGATATTGATCAGCTCATATGTAAAGGTGACAAAATCCGTGGGGGTTCGTAGACTTCGCTTTCCGGCATCGAGATCGCGCTGAGGACGGTTTTTCTTGTTCCTTCTCTTCTTGAACGGTAGGCAATGAACCAGACAGAATTCTTCGCCTAAGCTACATCCCTCAAAGTACACAGATCTCTCGAAACAGTCCTCCGAGAAGTGTTCGGAGTAGATCACAAATATTTCTGTAGGATTGAAGTTTACTCGGCGAGGTCGCACAAATCGCATCCGTTTTTCCCGCTCTGATCTATTTGCAAGGCTCCGATGCAGAGAAATACCTGCAGCATGGTCTGCACGATTACTTCAGCTTTGAATTACGCATCGATGCCCAGTCATTTTTGTTTAGTTTTTGTAAGAATAGAGTAAAGCACTCTGTTATGTTTGCTTGACATTTTGCCATGTGAGATTTTCGCGTTGAGCCTTTGACGTCACTTCCTCTGAGTCCTGCGATCAACTTCCGGAACATGATCAAATAATGGCGGACGCGAAATCGTGAATTTAACGGCCCGAAAAAAGATATTTCTGGTGCTCGGTCTAAACTGAAATTTGGCAG